CCTCTTTTCTTCCCCCCTTTCTCACCATTTCTTCTCCCCTCTATTTTTTTCTCTCCCTCTCTTTCTTTCATTCTTTCTCCCTGTCCTATCCCCCAGTCATGTCTGTCCCGTCTGTAACAACCAAAAATCAAATCAAATAAATACATAATTACAATAAAGGTCAATCCAATGGACCAATATGGCAAGGCCATGATGATCCAATTGGTAAAGTAAAGCCGCTTGGCATCTTTCTTGGCCTTCAGACAACAATTCTGATGGCTAAAGATCCAAACGGGACTGGCAAAAAAAAGAAAACCTAAACCTCAGTTTAAAACACAGAGATGACTAAATACCTGTAAAGTGTTGTTGAAGAAGTAATAAATGCTGCTCAAAGTCAGTAGCTTCACCTAACCCTGAGGTCACACATTTCACAGTTACCTGCATGTTCACACTGTGTTACACCTTCAGCTGCCTGACCCATGACGTATTTAAACTGATGTGTAGCTTGATGTAAGGACTACGGTATGCCACCTGTCCGTAGGCTTACTGATGAATGTTCATACATACAAACTCATTTAACGTACTCACCTGAAGTATCCAGGCAACAGTCAAAACAACTGACAAACTGTCATTTGTCTGAGCTAATGGAAATACCAGCCTCCAGAGTTAATATCCTGTCAAACAGATGTGTATTGTGAGATCTTTTCTGTGTGCTGTGGCCTTAACTGATGGATAAGACAGATATAAAGATTAAATAACCCCAGGTATACATACGAGGTTAAGTCTGGGTCACTTGACACCCATCTTGAGCAGTGCTTAAACATACTCTTGTACATCTGTTTAAGAAATGCCTGGCTTTCGGGCATGTAGCATATCTAATTGGTAAAGCACATGAATAAAAGAAAGCAGAAGTTAGACTTTGCAGCTTTTATTGCATCAAACATAATCCTTTGTCAATATTAAAGATCTTTTTTTGTAGAACATGTTTAACATTTTAAAGAGAGGGAATTTCTCCTTTTAGTTTTAAAACAGCAGCCAAGGCTAGTCCAGTGCTGTTTTAGTTCTTTACAGAATATAGCCGCAGGGTAAAACTGTAACACTTGTTTTTTTCACAGAACTCTAATGTTTTGGTAAATTATGCGCTTAAATATTATATTGTTATGACCATAACAACTCTTAAGATTTACAAACTTGGTGAATATGACCATAAAAGGTAAAAACAACACTTGATTTAGATATGGTTGATTTAGAAATGACCTCCCCTTTAAGCTGCTTCCAAAGTGCCTGCTATCTTTGATTTAAGTCCTAGTTTGACCACTTGAGCAAATGCAGTGTTCATTAGATATTCTCCATTTTATCAAAACTGCAGCTTAACAGTTGGAACTCTTCTGGGGAAGAGGACAATGTCAGAGAGGATGGTTGAATCCAAAAACACTCACGCCCTTTTAACATGTTGTGAATTATAGCTGCACATGAAATGGGCATGATGTCTTACATAAGGACTTTATGGTCTTCTACTGAAGACTGTTATTTGGTCTTTGCATCATAACCTTAGACCCAGTTCCCAGTTTGAAACAACAACAACAAAAACCCAAACCATTGATTTGTCCTCTGCTCAAGTTTAATATGCCCGGTCAGAATGGTGCCTGGAAAGTGTCCAAAAGGATATGTGCTTGAAAAGATTAGCAAATTTAAATATATGATCAAAGTACAGTTACTCCCCATGTATCATATATGCATATGCAATTTATTTCAATGTGGATT